AGGCATTAATCAAAATATTTAAGTTTTCGAATTTCGTTACTTTACTTATTGGATTGAAGTGATATAATGCTCACTGCACATGTTTTAAATAAAAGGAAGCAAGATGTCAAATTTCAGTTTAAAAAGTAATAGCTTAATCAGCGGATAGACCAAATATGAAGGCAATTGCATTTCTCCATACAGTTAAAAGACAGAAAAGAAAGAATCATCCTTATTCTACTTAGTTAATAGATGATGCCTTCAAGGACCTTTGCTATTATGTAGTTAATAACCGAATATCTTTGAAATTTAACAATGAACATTAAAATAAGATTCATATCCATTTTCAGCTATATTGAGAATTGAAATTTAAACACCAGTCGACCAGATTTTGACCATATCTGTATTTATTTTATAGGTTGTGTTATTGAGTTTAAAGCTATAGTAGGGGTTAAACATAAATATAATGTACCATGGAAATGTCATGGTGGATGTTTGACCTCCAATGGTGTATTTTATATTTCGGTATACAGGTCGGTATCATTATATTAAATATGATATCTTACCCAATTGGGGCGACAGCAAACACCTCAGAGGGTACTATAAGTTTCTAATTATAATATTTCTTTAGTCTGTGTCAATAATTTATTTGACTGTGTTTGTTGTACAGCTTTCATTGAAGATTTTGGTGCTTTATTCCTCTAATGTCATGCAAACTAGTTTTAAACAAAGTTAAATTTTTGAGGTTGAGAAACAATGGCCTAGCCCAATACAGAAACACTCTAGTAAATTCTATTTTAATATTATCAACTTAATATGTATTGAAACCATATGAAAGATGTTGAAGTTTGTTTGTTTTTCTAAGAACAAAATGACACTGTATTAGCATATTTCATTTTGTCAATATGTGATTTAGTTGATGGTTTTCATACTATATATTTTTCAGCCCAGCAGAATTTTATGACCACCTGAAGAATAAATTTCCTTTGTCTGTAAGTAATGATTCATTTTGACTATAATTTCAGTAGCTTGGTTTTCTTAGTGTAAGACTGATAGGTCTGGTGTCCCTTTCTATATTACTAACCATCTCATTAACCTAGAGAGGCCTTTTTTTGAAATGTTAAATGATATAAATATATGATATAAAAAAAAAATTAATGAGCTAAATACAATAACAAATAAAAACTAGAGCCACTCGTGGCACAGAGTGGGACTTTGCAAATGTAGCAAATTGCAAAAGACCCCAAAAAAATCATCCTTCCACGATAATTAGATCAAGCGCAAGAACAGTCTAAAGTTCAGAAATTTTCATTTTTTAGAAGATTATAATACCGGAAGTAGACGCCAGACCTCACAAATGAAAGTATCAGCAGATAGCCAAGGTCAATGACCTTTGATCTTGTAAAAGAGAAAGTCTAAAAAGGTCAAGATCAAGAGATATACGTCATCAAAATTTCTAATTGCACACGACTATAAAACCGGAAGTTGACATAGGACAGCAAATATGAAAGTACAAATAGATAGCGAATGCCAATGACGTTTGATCCTACAAAGGTCAAGGTCAACAAAGGTCAAGGTCAAAAATTGAAAATTTTGAATTTCCAAAACCTGTTCCTTTTTTTGAACTATGAAGCGGAAACAACCAAAATTATAAGACAAAGTGGCTCAAAATATGAGGTAATTGTGTAAAAAGTTCCATTTTGAACAAATGTATACTTTGCGAGTTATGCCCCTGGCCAAAAATGTCAATAATGAGTAATTTAACCCGGAAGTGCCACGCCCAACTCAATTTTTTTTCAATAAGTTAATCAATATTCAAAATGTTACGTTATGTTCCAAATTTTAAGTTCCTACATAATAGAGGTCAAAAGATATAGGTCAACAAAAGTCAACAAAGGTCAAAATCGAAAAATGAAAATATCCAAATGTTAAAACCCGTTCCTTTTTTGGAACTATAAAGCTGAAACAACTGAGCTGTTAATACATACTGGCCAAAAGGATGAGGTAATTGTGTGCAAAGTCTCTTTTTGAACAAACGCATCCTATGCGAGTTATGCCCCAGCCCCAAAATGTAAACAATTAGTAATTCAACCCGGATGTGCCACGCCCACATAAGTTTTTTTGTCATAGGTGAATTCATATTCGAAGTGTCTAGTTATATTCCAAATATCAAGGTTCTACATCAAATAGATCATAACATATACATACACTAAGCTCAAAAAGTCGCAAATATTGTAAAAAAAAAACCTCAAATTTGAAAAAATCACTAATTTCAATTTTGCTTTAAAAAACGATTGTTATATATCTATGTAAAGTACACGAGAAGCACATTAGGAAACCGAAAAAAATTACTCTCTAGGTTAATTAGGTCACGTGCTAGAGCAGTCCAAAGTTGCGAATTTGGATGTTTTTGGACAGCTATAAAAGCGAAAGTAGACGTCAGAGGTCAAATATGAAAGCATAAACTAATAGACAACGTCAATGACCTTTGACCCAATAAAGGTCAAGGTCATCAAAGGTCAAGGTCAAAAATTGAAAATTTTGAATTTCCAAAACCTGTTCCTTTTTTTGAACTAAGAAGCGGAAACAACCGAACTTCTAAGACAAAGTGGCTCAATTCATGAGATAATTGTATGCAAAGTTCCATTTTGAACAAACGTATACTTTGCGAGTTATGCTCCTGGCCAAAAATATCAATAATGAGTAATATTACCCGGATGTGCCACGCCCACCTTAATTTTTTTGCATAGGGTAATTGATATTCCAAATGTTACATTGTGTTTTAAATTTCAAGCTTCTACATTATTCAGGTCAAAAGATATAGGTCAACAAATGTCAATAAAGGTCAAAATCGAAAAATGAAAATATCCAAATGTTAAAACCTGTTCCTTTTTTGAAACTATAAAGCTGAAACAACAGAGCTGTTAACACAAACTGGCCAAAAGGATGAGGTAATTGTGTGCAAAGTCCCTTTTTGAACAAACGCATCCTATGCGAGTTATGCCCCAGCCGCAAAATGTAAACAATTAGTAATTCAACCCGGATGTGCCATGCCCACCCCAATTTTTTTGTCATAGGTGAATTCATATTCAAAGTGTCTAGTTGTATTCAAGGTTCTACATAGAATAGGTCATAAGATATACATACACGAAGATCAAAAAGACACAAATATGGTAAAACTAAACTCAAATTTGAAAAAATCACGAATTTCAATTTTGCTTTAAAAAAGCAATTGTTCTATATCTATGTGAAGTACATGAGAAGCACATTAGAAAATCGAAAAAATTAACCCTCTAGGTTAATTAGGTCACGTGCTAGAGCAGTCCAAAGTTGCGAATTTGGCTTTTTACGGATAGCTATAAAACCGGAAGTACATGTCGGAGGTCAAAGGTCAAAGTATCAAATGATAGCCAAGGTCAATGACCTTTGACCCTATAAAGGTCAAGGTCATCAAAGGTCAAGGTCACGAGATATACGCCATCAAATATTGAAAAAATTCAATCGCAAATTGCAAAAAAGCAAAATCGAAATTCAAAAATTGGCTTCCTGCGATCTCTCTTAATTTTTATGTTCTTTCATTTGACACCAAAATTTTGAAATTCGGTTCAGCCAAATTGGCTGAATAAAAATCGAAGAGTTTCAGGGAAATCAAAATGGCGGCCAAAGTTTCACGTCTGTTCCGGATTTTTTTTTCTTCGTTTTTTTGTCATAACTTTGTCTATCTATCAGCATAAATTTTTTTGTCCTATACAAATTACACCGGAAGATATTCAACCGAAAGTGAACATCGATTTCCTGTTTAAACCGGAAGTGAAATTGAAATTTTTATTGTACCATTTTGTTTACTTTCTTAAACTGTCTTTGATCAATTTTTTTCAGATTAATCAGACAAAAAGCAAAAAAAATGAAAAAAATGCAAAATTTGGCAAAAAAAATGTCTGCTACAAATTTTCGAATGTTGAAATTTTGAAACTGCTATTCTTTCAGATTTTGCCAGTAGATTCCAAAAATGCAAACCCAAAGAAAATCGACCAAAAAATACGACTTCTAGAGCCGATTAACTATTCTTGCACATATTGAACTGTGGCACTTCCGGTTTTGCAAAAAAGATCCAAAATATATTTATGCACATCGTCGCCTATATCTATGGTTCGTGAATGTTGAATGGTTGGTGCAACTATTGTAGTCTAAGCTCAGGAAGGTGTGTAAATTTCGAAAAAAAAAAAAAAAAAAAAAAAAAAAAAAAGAATAGACATTTCGATAACAAACTGGGACTTTGCTGAAAGCAAAGTCCCACAAAAAAAAAAAAAAAAAGAATTCACATTTCGATAACAAACTGGGACCACAATGAACTTCTGTACAGGATCTTCCTGATATGTGTCTTAAACAGTGTATTATACTTGTAGATCCATATGATACCAATAAAAGAATTTCAGCCATCAAATTTACCTGTTCTGGTCTCTTCACAGCAAGGTACAATTTTCTTTATTGTTATTTGTAGTTATGTGTGATAGATGATATTCACAATGAATTACCTGTTAAATTTTTTTTATTATACAAACCATGAAAAACCAGAATAAATAACATACATGTAGATGAGATTTGATTAAGATATAAAAGATGTTTGATGCATATTTGGTTGTAGACATGAATTGTTTCAGTTGATTTGTTATATGGTGGTGATATACTAGACCTAGTAAGAAGAAATTTATATTACGATGTATCAGTGGCAGAAAAAACTTACATAGATTATAACAAACTGTACAGTAAAATATTAGACAAGCAATCTACACCAGTCTTACAGTCTTTAAGGTAAGTATTTATACAGTAAAACATTAGACCAATACTCTACTACAGTCTTACAGTCTATAAGATAAGTATTTATACAGTAAAACATTATACCAATTACCAATACTGTACTACAGTCTATAAGATAAGTATTTATACAGTAAAACATTAGACTAATACTGTACTACAGTCTTACAGTCTATAAGATAAGTATTTATACAGTAAAACATTATACCAATTACCAATACTGTACTACAGTCTATAAGATAAGTATTTATACAGTAAAACATTATACCAATTACCAATACTGTACTACAGTCTATAAGATAAGTATTTATACAGTAAAACATTATACCAATTACCAATACTGTACTACAGAATATAAGATAAGTATTTATACAGTAAAACATTATACCAATTACCAATACTGTACTACAGTCTATAAGGTAAGTATTTATACAGTAAAACATTATACCAATTACCAATACTGTACTACAGTCTATAAGATAAGTATTTATACAGTAAAACATTATACCAATTACCAATACTGTACTACAGTCTATAAGATAAGTATTTGTACAGTAAAAATTTAAACTGACTTTGTATTCAGTCAAATCTAAAGCAAGCAAAATTTATCAATCAGAGCATGATCAGAGATCAAACAGAAAGCTTGAGCAACTTAATTCAATATTATATTTTTGTAGGTATATATTAATGGTAATATCCACTATAGCACCAGATAAAAAAGATGAAGAATTTGATGATAGTGAAATTCCTGTAAGTTTCTGAAAGAACACACACTGTTTATCCTATAGTCCAAAAATTTCTTCTTGTTCTTTAAATTCTGCTTAATAACAAGATTTTCATGTCATTGTTTGTATGAAATGCAGAATTTCCGTACTTATCTCTGGCCCCTGTTCAGTGATTAACATTTGAATACCCATTTACCAATTAAATAGATATTTTCCTACGGAAATGATTTTTCGGAAATGATTTTTCAATTAAAACTATGTAAATTTGAATTTACAATAATAAAATATTTTGACTGTTATAATAGTATAAATCAAATATTGTAGAGGGATATAGAAATATCACTGCTAAATTAGTGCTCAATACATCAATTGTAGAGCGATAAAGAAAGGAAATATTAAAACAGAACCAAAAAAAAAAAAATGTGTTGTTACTCAGAGTTTCATGCTATGCAATCTTTAGACGAATGACCTATATTCAGCCAACATCCCCACTCTGACACATGCTGAAAATATGTCAAATGAAGATCACATAACATGAAACTCTTGAGTAACAACATGATTCATGTTCTGTTTAAATATTTCTAGATTTAATTTTTATAAAATGTATTTTATTTGTCAGGAAAAGAGTGATATTATTAAGGAAGTAAAGAGAGTAACAAGTTATATTTTATTAGAATATATACACAGTACAGTAAATAAATCTTCTACTATACAACTTACAGAGAAAGGTAAGTTTATAGTTATATTTTATTAGAATATATACACAGTACAGTAAATAAATCTTCTACTATACAACTTATAGAGAAAGGTAAGTTTATAGTTATATTTTATTAGAATATATACACAGTACAGTAAATAAAACTTCTACTATACAACTTATAGAGAAAGGTAAGTTTATAGTTATATTTTATTAGAATATATACACAGTACAGTAAATAAATCTTCTACTATACAACTTATAGAGAAAGGTAAGTTTATAGTTATATTTTATTAGAATATATACACAGTACAGTAAATAAATCTTCTACTATACAACTTATAGAGAAAGGTAAGTTTATAGTTATATTTTATTAGAATATATACACAGTACAGTAAATAAATCTTCTACTATACAACTTATAGAGAAAGGTAAGGTTATAGTTATATTTTATTAGAATATATACACAGTACAGTAAATAAATCTTCTACTATACAACTTATAGAGAAAGGTAAGTTTATAGTTATATTTTATTAGAATATATACACAGTACAGTAAATAAATCTTCTACTATACAACTTACAGAGAAAGTTTATAGTTATATTTTACTGTAACATAATATATTATACACAATACAGTAAATAAATTGTAAGAGTTATTGCTCTTGCTCCTTGGTTTCTCCTTACATTTCTGTTTTGGTTAGATATTGCTGTTCTTTGTTATAACCATGTTTCATATTGTGTAAACAATAGAAAAGAGTTTGACTACAAAAGATGGATGGTTATTACAGAATATATTTATCTGAATGTTCATGATTAAGCTGCTACTTGAATTTACCTTATGAATTTACCATTTCCTACACCTTTCATGGCTTGTGCCTAGAAGTAATTCAGCGGTTGTTACTATGTTAGATGGCCCAGATTGGTTATATCAATGTAGACAAACTGAATAGTTAATTTCACCCTGAAAAGCTTAAATTAATCTTTAACATCTCCTAAGATGAAAATTACATTACTGTATCCCTTTATATGATGTGTAATGAGTTGATTATCTTATTATCCATGTTTCATTTCAGATAAACTCAGTATAAATATGATGTTTAAATGGGCTCTAGTTAATTTTCCAGGGCAGGACATTTTGATTCAGAAGCTATCAAGATTGAAAAGTGATGATGACCCCTATCTTTGTGCTGTTTGTGGGGAAAATATCCTTTTTATTTGGAACTTCATAAAAATCTGCATTAAATATTGCATCAAGACGTAAAATTTGATGTAATACACATAGTAATGATGTCAATTATATCATGTTGGGGTATTGCATTTTGGTTTCTTTCACAACGATTGCTCAACTAGCATTTCTCATTTGAGTTCATATATTCCCTAACTCTAGAAACATTATAATCTATCTGTGATATCCTTGAAATGTTCCAATGATCATGAATTTGGTAAGATATTAAGCCTTCATTATAATTTTTATAGTAGTTGCCATGGTGATTGATTTCAGGCGCTTTTCTGATGGATAGAGACACTGATGTTACAGAGCTTATATAAATTCCTATGGTTCTGTCTGTTAATAAATAGTAGGCCAATGCATCTTTGGCAAATTTTCCCTCATTGCATGTGCATTATCAATAGCCCAATCTGTTGCTAAAAACAAGAATACTGAACCCCCATTTTATTTCATTTGATGAGTCAAATTATAAAATATAAATGTATATGTATGGTTAAGATCTATATATATAATACTGTAATTGTAGGTTTATGTTGTAAGTCATTCCAATCATGTACTGATTTACAGTTGATGTCATGTCAAGTATGTCATGCTACGTTTCTATCTTTATCTCAACTTGAAGGTAACTAAAGATATTTCTTTATCATTTTTTATATAAGCATATTATTTATGGAAACATTCCATTTGATTTTCTTGAATTGTCATCGACATCTGATGGAAAATCTGAATTAGACTCTGTGTTCATGAGTTAAACAAATGAATCTCTTTTGAAAGAATACATTATATTTCAGAATTGAACTGTTTACCAGGAGATCTGATTAGATGTTCACTCTGTTCTGCTCTGTTATCATCCTGACAGTGATCACTGGACGTATGAGACTGTTACTAAAGGAGTATCACTAGGGATGTAGATGAAAGGCGGCAGTACTCAGGTGTTGCAGAAGATGAACCATATTTACCTATGTTGGCATCATGGCTGGAAATTGTGATATGTGTACATACTGACTGCTTCTATTACAAATTATTTAGGAGTTTGACATCCTTTGTTCTGATCTTATAGAATGACATGTCATATATCATATATATGATGTGTATTATAATAACCATTAAATGTCAATAAGAGGGTTAAAATTTAATCTTTTAAAAAAAACCTCCTAAAATATATACAGATAATAAAATAAAGATTTACAACCTAACAATTCTCTGAATGTATCCATGTATCCATGATTCCCTTGAACTTCTTGAAAAATAAAGATGGGATTCTTTACTTATGAGTTGAAAATTTTTTTTAAGGCATTGAGGTTTGCTAAAAACAATTTTATGTGATTGGGAACACTGGTAGCATCAATTTGCACCATTTCAATTTCTTATCAGTGGTTCCTGCTATTCCACCAAAACAAGTCACTAATCGCAAAATATGCTTTTCTCAAATGCTCATACAGGTAGTGTTTTGAGCATGTAAAACATTGATCAATTTTAGAAATAGAATATTTATGCAATTATAACATAAAATACTTAACAATTGTTCATTTATAAACATCTGTAGTTTGATAAATCATGATATGACATTTAACATTTACTCAGTTCTTACCCTGTTATAGATTTTCTAAATTAACCAGCTTTAATTATATTACACTAAGGATATACACAAATGTTTGTTTCAGCAGCTGAGAGAGTTCAATTTCAACTGTCCTTTTATTTCTAAATAAAATATTTATTTTTGAAAGCAATTTGTTGAAATTGAGCTTTTCAGATGGTGAAACAAATATTTTAGATGATAAATGCACCAAAAAATATTTTATTCAGAATATAATCTACACTACTAATCTCATTATTTGCAACAAAGGTTTACAGGAAGAGCCATTGCAGTTGGTGGTCTAAATTTCATTTGAAAGCCAATACTAATTGGCACACTACATTGCATTGTTCTACTTTTGTGCACTTGATTGGGCTAATCAATATTTTATTGACATAAATGCTGTTGATTTCAGCATTAAAAATTTACAAATAATGGCACATTATATTTAGAACAATCATCGAGATATTCTAGATTCCTATAGACCAAAACAAGTGCATTTTTAGAAAGTTGAATAACATGAAATAAATTACACATGTTTTATAGATGTGATTTTCAAATATAAGCCACCCAAAAAGTTATATACATAAAGAATATTAGGTAAATGAAAAAGCGATATGAATTTAAATGAAGCAAATTCCTTATCCAAATAAGATCAGTGTCTACTCCATTACTAGCCATTCAACTTAAAAATAAATGCTGTTTTGTATAATATATTGACCTGACTATAATCTCCATATAAGCAGCATCTGACATGCACTTGTTCATTTGATATCACACATTTTCCCTAAAGGCTCAACAAACAATAAGATAGAACTTGAATGATAATTATATTTTTAAAAGAAAACCTCTTACTATGGCATCCAATTTCCAAATAAATTAAATGAATGCTCTTTATGTTTCTGGTTTGTATCCCCTGGTATCTGAAAACAGTCTACTGGATGAGCTCCTATAGTTTTATTAAATAGATTAAGAGAGAAGTCTGTGCACCCCAATAATTGAGTTTTGTGGTCTTCATGAGCATTTACTTTAAAAGTCACATTAAAGAAATGAATACAGATATCTACAACTTTAGAGACAGAACCTAAACACATTAATGGTGGTTCATCAGCTGAAAGTACAAAATTAAAATATTTAAATTAAAAAGTCAGTATTTTGCTCATTAATGGGAATTAAAAAATAGTAGGTTAAAAATTGTATGGCCTTCCAAGAACTTGTGACTGATTGTGGTGCTATACTGGTTCAATGAGTTCAGCTCACTGAGCTGGAGGACTAGAGTCTGATCCTAGTATAAATTGCTGGTGAACTCCAGTCAGTAATGCAGGTCTGAGAGCCTGATATAGAGTAGTCTGGATTGAGTCGCGTTAACAAACTTTACCTAATGGCAAACTACACGGTTGGTTTCTGTCTACAAGGTATATGCTTACTTTACAGTAATCTCTGGGAGCTTGGTAAAAGGGATACTTATGCTTACTCTTAAATTATGTGCACACTATAATAATTTTTATTTTGGCAATATAGGTTGCAAATCATTATGTCTTTCTTAAGGCAATATGTTAAAATTGATGAAAGCTATAATTAGATAAAGTATAGAAATAGAAATATTAATTTGGAACCAAAAAAAAACCTGTGTCACGCTATGCGATTTTCATACAACTGACCTATGTCAGCCTGTGTCCTTACTATAGCATTATACTGTACTCTAATTCTGCAATGAACTATTAAAACAGATACTATTTCACTACTACTGTAAAATAGCTAACACAATTTATATTCAATAAGTAATGATAAACTTGTGAAATTTAGAAGTCCTAAATATAGTCACTAGTCTTCAAAACAGTTTAAGTTAGTTAATAGCTTATGATGTATCTTATAAATGATAGTTTTCTTTTTTTGATAATCTATCAAAATAGGGACGGCATTTAGTCAATCTTAAAATGTATGGAAAGTCAATTATGGGCCACTTGACACCTACCGTGAATGTTTCTATATATCCTATTGTATCCAATTCTAATCTTATACTGGATAATTAAGATACATGTATAAGTAAACAAAGACGATTTGTGTTTATTCCCGTTTGTTTACAAAGACAGTCCGCCATTACGTCGTATTAATCACATGACCACATGACGTCATTTTTGGAACCATCGTTAACCTCATAACCTTGATAGGCTACGTTAATGTTTACAATATTCACTACGTTAATGTTTACAATATTCACATCAAAATTTTGCAGCTATACCTGTAAAGAAAACAGTTAACACGGCTTTCCAAAAGACGCTGGTATGGGTCAAATTCGTACAATTGAAAAGGGCTGACTTCAAGGCGTCGACTGAAAACTCTCAGTCTGTTATTTATTTCACTTCAAAACTCTTTATTTTTATAGAAAATATTCTAAATTGGAAAGTTGACATAGCCAGAAAAGTGTTTTAAAATTCGATTCGCATATGAGACCCCATTAGAAATATATTATAGGTTCTTATTTTTAATTAATACTAAAAAAATCGGCATTAGGCCTATCCGATGTGTGTGTTTTACCAATTCAGATTTGGGAATGTAGGAACTCGTGATGTTATGAAAATTACCTATTGTCTTTAAAATAAATTATAATTAAGTTACATGTATTATATAATAGTTGTAATCTTATAACGACTTGTTCCGTATATCACTTATAAAATGAGTGTGAAGAAATCATACAAATAACGACCATATTTCTCCACTATTACCCCATTCATCATGGAATATCTCAAAGACTAATTAAGATATTTTAATTCTGTAAAGGTTTTCATCGAGAGAAGATATGAATATTTTGAAGCGGGCGATTTTTAATACAAAATGAACGCTACGAACCAGTCATTATAAATTTATTTTCCAATCGATCTCCATTTTCATGAATTTCGGCACTGTCATCGTCCTGGTTTGGCCTTTCACTGTCAGTCACCCCTTCCCGAGGACACCTAACTGGCTCGAACTGGTAGCCCACCACATCCCTAAACATTTCGTATTCATCTTCTTCGTCTTCAGAATGAGATGAACTGTGAGTGCTTGAATCGTTTTCATTATAATACATGTCATAACGCCCGCCACATTGTTTATCTGTCAGTGTAGTGTTCCCAGAAACCACCGCGTCAAGTCCATAATTTACGTCACGCACGTTATATATTTCCGGAACGTGCTCGTGGTTTTCCGTACAAATCATCGATTTCCCATCAAAATATCACTTTTTCACCCTCACGAATTTTTTTTCCGCGAAAAGGATAGTGGCATTCAATTCAATCATTAATTATTTATCAAATACAAAAGTACACCATATTAAGACTTTCCATACTCTTTAATATCCATATAATCATTAAGCTGGTTAAAGATTTTTAAATAAGCTAATGAAGGGTGCTATATAGATATAAGCTTAATAAATTTAATTGTGATCTAACAATATCACTAATGCAATTGGAGATCAATTTTCAACTATAAATAGCACAAAAACAAACATTTTTCATGTGTGGTTAGTCTTCAATTTAGTAACAAAGTATTTGAGTCAGATTTTTATTCTGAAAAGTGATATAGCTGTATATCACAAACACAAAACAATATTATGGTGTAAGCACACTTCTTTAATCAAATATTAAACACATAAAAATTGAACACAAATTACACATGTCATCATCAGATGAAATATTAAGATGAATTAAACATAACAGAAAAAATATAACAACTAAGAATAATAGAGATTATAGACTTATTACCCTTTGATAAATTATATCTGTTAATCTCTATTATTCAGTTGTTACGGTACATATTCTGTTATATACAATATTAGTATTATAAGCTTACTCTTCTATCCAACAAGATATGTTTATGAAAGAGATGTTATTATTATAGAGATCCATGATTGACCAGTTAGTGATTAAGACCTTCAGCCATTTTTAAGACCATCATTTTAGACTTAAGACTATATTAAACTTGAGATAAGTGAAAATTTACTTCAAATTGTGAACCACTTACCTGATATGATATCTTTATGTATAATTTGATCATCTAATAAAACTTTTAGATCTAACTCCTAAAAACAAAAATAAGTCATTTTTACGATCACAAACCTTTTTGGTATTGATTGATTCAAACTTAATCACATATATTCCAAAGCCCTAAAAAGGATTATACCACCTCAGCAGAAATATGTTCACTGTCCAAGAAACCTTCATTTGTGAAACGGAAATACTATTCAATAATGACTAAAAACTCCTCAAATCATATTTGAGAGTCATTAACCTTCCATGAGCTGACACAAAAATCATTTGGATTAAAACAATTCACAGCAAGTACCAAATACTCGATGCGAATTGAACCATTCAGATCTTAATTGGGGCGGCATACAATAAATAATACAAAAAATATTGCATGTAATAGCCCTGCCACACCGGAAAGGTGTCCTTACTGAGCTGCTAAGGTGGCGCAAAATTAGCTCATAGCGTGCGGTAAACTTTTCCGGGGACCGAGTAAATTTTTTCTTTTTAATATGAATTAATCTATGACAAAAAATGTGAGGTTAAATTACTAATGTTGGGCAAGGGCGTAACTGGCATAGGATACATTTGTTCAAAAAGGGACTTTGCACACATCTACTTGGCCAGTTTTGGTTAAGAGCTCAACCTTAGTTAACATAAAAAGGAACCAGTTTAGAATTTTCATATTTTCATTCTGACATTGACCTTTGTTGACCTTGAACTTTATAGGATCAAAAGATCATTGACCTTCGCTCTAGAATAATACCTTCATCCTCCAACGACAGCTTCTGGTTTTATAGCCATATGCATCAAATTTGATAACATATATCTTGTGACCCTGACCTTTGTTGACCTTCCCCTTTACAAAGCCAAAGGTCATTGACTTTGGCTATTTGCTGATACTTTCATTTCTGATGTCTGACATCTACTTCCAGTTTAACAACCTTCTAAATAAGAGAGTTTTTGACTGCTTTAGCACGTGAGCCAATTGGCCAATAAGGTTGATCTCTTGCAATTTGCCACATTAGCAAAGTCGCACTCTGTGCCACATGTGGCTCTAATTATATAATGTATCTATATATATGTTGAATAAAATAATGTTTTAATCAATAATTATTTATTCAAATATTTATTATATCAGCTGGTTAAGTAATTCATGATGACTATAAAATTTTAATGTGTGAGAGCTTGAAACCTTGTATGATGTTATAGGACGCAAAATTACTTTTCGAGAGATACCATTAAAAGCTTTGTAAGTGCATTTGGTTAAAATGTCATTTATTATTTTCATTCTTTGACAATTTAAACTTGTATAATAATTCGATTACTCTGACCTATCTATTCAAAAACTCCTATTATAGTACAGTATAGAGGTTTTTCTATTTTCACCCACAGAAACCTGTTCATATTTTATGAAGTATTAAATCTGACTGTTAATAAACGTGTTATTTAATCTGTGATTTTGGGTTATTTAAAATTTAACAAGCATTCAACAGTACCAAGATATGAAAATTACCAAATATGGCTTAAACAAGGTTTCAAGCGGTCACCTTTGGTATTCCTTTTAAATTGTTGTTAGCCTGGCAATGTAAACAATTAGACTATGTAAATTATAGATATCTACTGATCATCATAGACATTACATAATCATTACTACTGTCTTATCTGAACTGATTATTGGATAAAAATATCAATAATAGATAAACTTTTTATAGGGAATGTCAAGCTTGAAGGTCGAGGGTTTCATCAGATCCAAAGAATGTTTAAAATGTCAGTATTTTTCTCATCAACATGTCTAAGAGTCAGGGGAATGTCAATCAGAATATTATGTTGTACTGGCTATTTGACTTTTTTAATAAAGCACACAAACTCAAAATATCTATAGCTGGTAGGACTTAGACAATGATAAGTTTGCTTGCTAAGTTGTATTTTCTGTAAAATTGTTTACAAAATCATACAGTTTTTTTCAATAATCTCAATAGGATGTGTATAATCCTTCTTTTTAATGAACTTCATTGGCTGATAACTTTTTAAAATATAAGTTATCAAAGAAATTGGCACGTAATTTATTATACGCCCACACGTAAGATGGGCGTATATTGTAATCACCCCGTCGGTCCGTCCGTTCACATTTGGCTTGTGCTCACTCTACAGGCTACAGTTCTTTATGGATTCTTTTGATTTTTATTTTGTGTGTCAATGTCATTATGAAGATGATCCCTATTGATTTTCGTGATGATCGGATAATTTTTCACCGAAATATCGTGTCTGACTTGACGTTTTTCTCTATTAGCTATATTGTGCAACTCGTGCTCACTCTACAGGCTACAATTGTTTACAGATTCTTTTGATTTTTATTTTGTATGTCAATGTCATTATGAACATGATCCCTATCGATTTTCGCGATGATCAGATATTATTTCACCGAAATATCGTGTCTGACTTGACGTTTCACTCTATTAGCTATATTGTGCAACGCTGTAGTCACTAAAGACTGTTTAATCATTTCTGACAGCTGCCAGTGGGCGTATGTTACTTTGCCTGGCAAGCTATCTTTTATCTTTAATCACTCAATAATATTTCTTGTAAATTAAGTTTCTTTTTCAGGCAGATGTTCTGTAAAAACATCTGCAACTTGACTTGAGATCTACATTTACTCATTGACAACAGCGACAAAAAATTGTCAATAAGCTTATAGATCGATTTTGCGGAAATCAAACCTCCACTTGAAAAGAAATCTCCAGTCCATGACAGTTGACCAAACAATTTTAAGAAGCACTTTTACAAATTTGGACTAACATAATAAGCTTATATATCGGGAGTTACTTTGTATGTAAACTGATTGCAAATAAAACATCTAATATCATAATATCTGGTAAATATTATGCCATCACAATCAGACATGACTCAGCAAATTAAACATCTCTGGAAAGCCAGAAAATTGAAAAGAAGACCAGTAAAAATACTTGACAAAGATTTCCTGAATAAGGTTCTTTCCTCATTGCCAACTGCATGGTGTTGGGCATTGCCTGTCACAATTAGCTTTATAAATAAGTATTTCAGTTCCATAATTTTGCTCAATAATAACATTGATTTGAATTCAATACTTACATGTGTTTTAGAGATAAAGGTGAAATTACTGCAAATAGTAGAGTTTAGGTGTAGTCTTTTATTAGCCACACGGGCACAGCATACACAATGACGCTCCCAACAATCACAGAAACCAATATGATAATCCATATTGAAAGTAAAGTTTGCTGTCCTATTTTTTGTACTTGATAAAATCGGGCCGTTTAGGTCTAATGGATGTAATTTTTTCATAAATTCAGTGTCTTTCATAATATTACTAATGTCTTCTAAAGTTATAGAAAGATTGAATTTTCCTGGGTAGGAAACATATTTAGTTTTATTTTCTGGTTTAATCATCCCTAATACTTTTAAATGTTCAATAGTTTTGTTCTTCACATGACCACCAGCCACAATTGTTTTACTTTTTAATTTTTTACCAATTTCAATCGTCTTATTTTTAATTTTACGGAACATTTGATCTAATTTTCCACTATCTTTTTCCTGCACTATTTGAGTAGTTTTTGGTCCATCCTTCATAGTGGGAGTACCGGTAGTATGGACTTTCTGATAGTGTTCAGCCAATTTTGGCACATCGATGACATAATCTTTAGAGTCTTTGTGTTTTTTCTCTTCAAAATACAGATGACTGATGCCTGCGGTGACAGGTGATATAGATTTGTCACTCTTATGTTTGCTTTTCACCTTTTTATGTTCCTCTGAAAGTAACAAGAAAAAAATACTCCGGTAAGTACCGGTAAAGCATAAAAATATCCCCCGCCCACCCCCTCTCCCGGATTGACAGTAATTCGACCTAACTCATGTCAACTTGACAAACTAGTCTCCAAAAATGGTTTATATGTTTATATTACTCCTCTTCTAATCATGAGGAGTAATACAGTCGAGTAACCTAATTTCGTGGAAACCTATTATTCATGGATTTCCGGAAAGGTTTAATAATTTACATGAGCGACCTTGCGCGTCCTCCGCATTAGTTTGTTTTGATAAACATGGGTTTTCTCTTTAATATCAGCTAGTAGAGTGAATCCAGTAGTTTCAAGCAAGGTAACTTTGACGAAATTCGGTATTGAATCCTTATATCCACGAAAATAGGTTACACCACTGTACATACATTTTTCTTCCCTTTGAATTTTTAAATGGAATCTCTAAAATTGATTACTCTAGGATGGGTACAACTAGCAAGTTAAGTATGATATAATATATCTACAACTTATTCCATCAGAATACTTGGTATTTATATTTTGTAATAATTCGGAGTTTCGATTCTATGATCGGGATATTGAGCTGTGCAGGTGTGTATTAGAAATCAGACTTAGTAGAGAGTGTAATAGAATAGGCAAAACATTGTATATAATTATTTTATGTGATTTACTATGTAAAAATCAAGGAATAACAGAAGGAAAAAGATGTAAACAAAGCAACTTCCGGTATAAAGTATAGTCCAGGAAGTAGTTTTTCTGCTGTCCCTGAGGTGAGATTTTTTAAGTCACAATGGAAAAACTTAATAGAGAAAACACCCTAATCCTCATGCCAGAGGGAGATGTTAAGCCAAATACGACAGAATTCCTCCGAACTATCTCTGAACGTGGAGTGGATATTTGGCAGATGCTCTTCTTCCAAAATATAGGTCAAGGCCGAATCCTAGTTACATTAGAGTGCAAAGAGGATGCAGAAAAATTCATGTTAGAATTCCAATTTCTAGACACTGTCTATTTTGAGGTAGACTATAAAATCGACTATGTTGAGAATGTGTCCCCTGACCCACATATCCCCCAGTTCATTACCATCACGGTTTTTGGTGCCCCCTACGAACTAGAGGATAAGTATATATTATCAAAGCTGCAAATCTATTGTGATAGCCCGAATATTAATAAGGGTTATATTAAAGATATAGGGAGTTACATATCAAATGGAGTCAGATATGTGAAGACGGGCAAAATTAAAAAGCCTATACCCTCCACAATTTACGTACAACGATGGAGACTCAACGTGAAATATGAAGGTCAAGAAACCCCAAACCAGCGCTGCTATAATTGTCAGCAGTATGGCCACCATGCAAATAACTGTCCTAATGACAGTGGAGAGACTCCCCCGTCCGTCGTCACAAATAAACCTTGTAAATAAGCAACAAAATGATGATAAAATTGAACAAAAAAATGATAAAACTGAAAACATTGTAAATACAGAAAAAAATGTAAATAATCAAGAAAAAAATATTGCACAAGAAAATAAAAAATCCAAAAAAGTTACAAAACAATCTAAAAAATCTAAAAATGTAAATACTTCTAAAAATGAAATAAGTGAAAATGGTAAAAAAAAATGAAAATAAAATAGAAATTGTAAATACAGAAAAAAATCCAAACCCAGGCATGGACCTTGCAAGCAGTAGGCTGAACTCTCAGGACTTGTCAGATCTATCTTTAATGTCAGATCAAGACTCAACTGATGATAGTGATTCATCGAGCTATACATCGGAAGCAATATCTGAATCAGAGCAAAACTCCAGTCTATATCTTGAACTCAACCATCAAATGCTAGAAAGGAGGCGGAATGCCTCAACGCCTCACGATGACATCGCAAATTAAAGACCGCCATCAGGTCTTGAAAAGATTCAAGATATCTCCAGCATAAGTCCTACCCTATCAGCTAAGGCTCAACCCCAGCATGCTATGTGCGGCCAGGGAGTTGAGGCTTCCCAATATAGGCAAACCACCGAGCCCATAGAAAACCCCAAAAAAAGAAAGGATAAAAGTTTTATCGCAAGCCTACTTACAAAAGCCCGTAAGGGAGTTTATGGGGATAATAACTAAGTGCAATATTTAAAGTCTCTGTGATACATGAACTGTGATATATTTTTAAATCTGGAAAATATTTAATCTTAAATTTTAACTGTACATATCTCCTTAAATATACTAATATATTAATATAATGCACATCTGCACCCTTAATGTAAAAAGAAGTTTTAAAACCAAAATCGATCAAATTCTTTTAAAATTTAAATATTGTAGCACAATTTGCCTCCAAGAGACCAATTTCATTAAAAATGCAAATAACGCAATTAGAAAAAGATACCAACTTTAAATTCACTGTAAATAATGGCAATAACAATAATAATGGCGTATGCACAATCTTTAACAACTATCTCTCTTTCACCAATATCCCCACCCCACCCTTTTTCTCTGGCCGTCTGTTGCATACCTCTACTCTTATCAATAATTCTCTGACACACATCTTTAACATCTATGCACAAGTCTATCTTCACCAAAAAACTCTCTTCTATACAGAACTCCTTTCCTATATTTCTTTTACAGTAAAACCTGATCAACTTTTAATTTTAACTGGGGATTTTAACTGTATATATAATATTTTAGATTCAAAAAATAAAAACATTTATAACACACCAGCAGCCACAAGAAGTCTTTTTCACTCTTTTAAAGTTAAATTGGCACTTGTAGATATTTTTAGAGAAAAACACCCCACAAAATGTATATACACTTATATTAACTCACAGGGTGATGGAAGTCGACTTGATCGCTTCTACACCAACAAATCACTAGCACAACACTGTATAAATATCTCACACATTCCTGTTAATAGCACAGATCACAAAGCAGTTGTTCTGGAGATAGACATTAAGAAATTTAGATGGGGGAGGGGCTATTTCAAATTAAATGAATCTATTCTATACAATACCAACTTAAAAAATACTATTTCATTCTTTTGGCGGGGATGGCAAGATCAAAAGTTACAGATTCAAAATTATCTTAATTGGTGGGAGGAGGGCAAAAAGCGTTAAAGCAAAATTTGTAAAGATTATTCGGCTATATTAAGTAAATAGAGAAAAAAGGATTTAATTCATAAATATAACACTCTAGAACAACTGGAAAATGACACCGACTATAATTTATCACTTATAAATATAGTTAAGCACAATATAACTACACTTGAGCACCAAAGGGTTAAGGGGGTGTATATAAGGGCTAAAGCGGATCATGTAAATAATAATGTTGAAAATGTACATATGTATAAAGATATAGAAATAAAAAAATGGTAAAAAAAAGTGTATAGATAAACTTGAAAATTTAAGGGGGGATATTTGTACAAACCGAGAAGATATTCTTAACATAATTCATGACTTTTACAGAACACTCTACACTTCACAGCATGTAAAAGAACACGACATTCACAATTATCTTTCACTGACACTGATCTATCCCTCATCAGCGACCCTTTTTTCTCGAAAGATGAAATTTTGGCGGCAATAAAGGACTTTTAAGAATGGTAAAACTCCGGGGGTTGACGGTTTAAGTAAGGCTTTTTATGAAGAAAATTGGGACATTTTAGGGGATGATATGTGGGAGGGGGTTATTACTTACTAAAAGTTTCGGTAATTAAAAGTTAAAAACTGGCATCAAATGCTTGAGAGGGATTCCATTGGTTAAAATTATAGACGTGATTATCTAACAAAAATAATTTGTATACGGCCTTCGCTATCGACTTGATAACCGTCGACTAAACTATTAATAGCCAAAGTAAATAGAAGACAATCATGCTGTTTCGCCTTTCGAGGCCGAATTTTTGAATTGAGGCGACTTGAATCGCAAGGAATAAAATATAAGGCGACTTTTGGAACCATATGGCGACTTTTTCGCCTACGTCGCCCCGTTACTTGTGCCCTGCAGTTTGGCGTATAAGGGGAAAGGACAGACAAGACTACTCAAAAACTATCGCCCTATTTCTCTTCTCTGCTCTGACTATAAGATTATTACTAAGCGACTTAAGAGGGTGATTAATTCTATTGTGTATGACATTCAGACTGGGGCGGGGGAGGACAAGACTATTATCAACAATCTACTATCCATTGATTATCTTCTTCTTTATATCAATCAGAAAAACATTCCTTCTAATCTTTCTACTTTTGACCAAGAAAAAGCATTTGACAGAATCGAGATTAACTACATTATCATTTTATTAGAATATCTAAATTTTCCACAATATTTCATCAGATGGGTAAGCAAACTCTACAAAGATATCACTAGTAAGGTTGAGGTTTCAGGTGCCTTCAGGTGTCCGACAGGGTTGCCCTCTCAGCATGGCACTATTCTCCATTGCAATTCATCCGTTGGCAGTTTATATTCAGAACAATGATGGTATTAAAGGTATTAAGGTCCCTAATTTCAGTCGAGAAATTAAAATATTTCAACACGCGGATGATTTATCTTCTATTACCACTTCGAAACAATCATTTGGCTTGATATTACAGGAATTTGATAGATTTAGTAAGGTATCAGGGTCCAAATTAAATGTAGAGAAAACCGAAATATTGTGTATGAACAATTCCAGGAACTTTATACCCGTTCAAAATCAACATTCGATCCGCGACGTCATAAATATGTTAGGTATTTGGTTTGGTAAGGGTCAGACTGGGAAAAACTGGGATATAATAGCGGCTAAGACTTTAAGTATGGCTTTAAGGTGGACAGACAGACAACTCAGTTTCAGGGAAAAACTAATTGTCATTAATACTTATATCATTAGTCTGTTCGTGTACGTTTCAAGAATTGTCCCACCATCCAAGTCCGCACTGAAACAAATAAACTTTGCGATTTTCAAATTTCTATGGAATAACAACTTTGAACTCATCAAACGTGACACCCTTCATTTAAATCCTGAACAAGGTGGACTTGGGATCCCTAATTTAGACCTAAAAGTTTTGGCAATGCAACTTCAACAAATATCCCAAGTCATAAAGATCACAACTGTAACCTTAGAAATTTGAAAAAATGCAAACAGATATATCAAGCACTTCTTGCCACACGCACTGTTAATTTAAAAACTGTTACTATGCACCCCTTCATAGATTTCAAACAAACTTGGAAAAATTTATCAACAATACACTCTAGTAA